AATATAGATGAAAGAGAAAGATGCAGGATGATTTTATTTTAAATATATATTTAATAGGGTTTAATATTTTGCAATTGGGCAAATTTATTGAGAGAAGTACTTAAAAATACATCTTGACAGTTTATCTATGTATGTATATATGTTTTTTGTCCTAATGCTTCTCTCCCCCTAAATTTTGTAAAAATAATGTAATTATTAAATGCTTACTTTTCTTCAGCTCATTCAGAAGCTGGATGTCCTCTCTCAGGGCATAGAAACCCAGGAAGGGACGGCTGCCAAGAGGGTGAAAAATACCAGAAAGTTCTGGCTGATGCACTACAGTCCAGGCCCCTGTCTCTCTTCTTTCCCTTTACAAAGCCTTCTTCTTTTTTTTTTTTTTTTGTGTTATTGATTTCTGGAGTTAATTTTATTTTTTTTTATTTTTTTTTATAAATTAATTTTTATTGGTGTTCAATTTACCAACATACAGAATAACACCCAGTGCTCATCCCGTCAAGTGTACCCCTCAGTGCCCGTCACCCATTCACCCCCACCCCCCACCCTCCTCCCCCTCCACCACCCCCTAGTTCATTTCCCAGAGTTAGAATCAAAATACCATGGACTTTCTTCAGAGACTTAGAACAAATCATTTTAAGATTTGTGTGGAATCAGAAAAGACCCCGAACAGCCAGGGGAATTTTTAAAAAAAGAAAACCATATCTGGGGGCATCACAATGCCAGATTTCAGGTTGTACTACAAAGCTGTGTTCATCAAGACAGTGTGGTACTGGCACAAAAACAGACATATAGATCAATGGAACAGAACAGAGAACCCAGAAGTGGACCCTGAACTTTATGCTCAACTAATATACGATAAAGGAGGAAAGACTATCCACTGGAAGAAAGACAGTCTCTTCAATAAATGGTGCTGGGAAAATTGGACATCCACATGCAGAAGAATGAAACTGGACCACTCTCTTGCACCATACACAAAGATAAACTTTACAAAGCCTTCTATTCAAACCTTCAGAGCTACAATTCTGGCCCTGACCACCAGGGAGAAGGTTTCTACATAACTTTTTTCCCCCCAAAGAAAAAGGTTGTTTTTTTTTTTTTCTATGCTCATTCCAGTATCCCACCAAATTGTTTGCAATTTCCTTTGTAAGTTACTGGGTCAGACTCTACTATGACCTCTCTAAGATGGACTGGAGTTATTTCCCGCCATGTGGCTATTTTCAGATGTTGAACTTTGCTCTTTCTTAAGTAAATCTGATATATTGTACAGAGAGCTTATTAAAGTTACGCATGGTGGGATCATGCTCATTCTATAAAGCTCAGTTCCAGTTTCTGTATTTTCTTAAACCTTAGCAACTTCAAGGAGGGCAAAGAGTGGTAATTCTGCAGGTAAGAGTCTCCTTGTGAGGAATTCATGAAGGAATACAATGTAATGTAGCCCATACAGAGCCTGGCCACCACTGACTCTCAAAATTCTCTCCCTTTGCAGCTACAAATACCTGTGACCCAGTCCTCCTAACTCTATTTAATGCCTCTGTGGATATGCCTTGTTGAAAACGGTTCCCTGAGTGCTAGGCTGGTAGCGAACTCAGGGGGGCAGTAACAACAGGAAGTTGTCTTCTCTGGCTGCCAGGACTCTTCTCTCTATGCCCTTGGGGAAGGAATTTCCTGGAAGGACTCCATCTTACTTGTGTAGCCTTCACAAGGACTTAGGGCCTGCTCTCACTTTCCTCAAGAGCTGTAATCAGATCTGCGACAAATTCCCAGCTCCAGACCCTACATATTCTCTTCAGGAACACCCTGTGTGGACAGTGATGACAGGTGACTGCCTTCAGCTCACACCATAGGTGAGTTGTTCAACCTATTTCCAGTTTACCTTTACTTGCCTGGCATAGCTCTTGAAGGTAACCTATTAAGTCTGAGTGTTTTGCCATGGTCACCTCCCCTTGGAAGCCCCACTTTCAACATTTATGTACTCAGCCCTATGACTCTGTAGAAAATCTGACACAAATTTGTAGCATTTAAACATTTAACTTGACTCCTTAGGAATCATCAATTGCTTCTAAAAGAAAAATAACCCCAAACATTGGGATTGTCTTCTGGATTATTTTGTAGCCTCTAATCCTTGCTCTGTAACATCCTACAGCACTGCTAGCTGTTTGATGCCTTCAAATAATATTTTATTTTAAATGATTTGTAACGCTCTTCTAGTTGTTTTTAGTTGGATGTTTGATCCAATTTAGCTCATCTGTCAATGCTGGAAGCAAAAATCTATTTTAATCTAAATTTATTTAAAAATGTATTTAAAAATAAATTTATTTATTTTTCATGCTGAGTTTAGCATACTCCTTATTATCATTGCTATCTTCTGTACTGCACTTTCTCTAATGTCTGGAAGATAAGGTAACAAAAATAGGAAAACACATGTAATATGCTTTTCATTAAGTTTTCCAGATGGATATGTCTGGCTAGCATAGAGTCAGTATCTCCAATATTTTTCTTGTTTTATTGTATTATAAGTGCACATCATCATCTTATTCTCCCACTTTTGACTATTTGCTCCTGCTTCTGAGGCCCTCAGGTCAGTTCCAGCCTTCAGCCACTCTCATATTTCAACCATTCCAGTGACAACAGATTCTGAATCACCACTATATTCTAAGAGGCAATGCTATTCCAAATATAAATTCAAAAAAGGCTGATTGTTTTATCAGCATGTAAACTTTTTATATTTGTGGTGGTGAGTAAATAGGCTTGTTCCCTCACTCTTTTTTTTTAAAGATTTTATTTATTTATTCATGAGAGACACAGAAAGAGAGGCAGAGACACAGGCCAAGGGAGGAGAAGCAAGCTCCATGCAAGGAGCCCAATGTGGGACTTGATTCCGGTAATCTGGAAGACAAGGCAGACACTCAACCACTGAGCCACCCAGGCATCCCCCTCACTCTTGATTAGCATGCAAATAGGTGTAAATAAATAAATAAATATATGTATATGTATATATTTATAAATGTCACTTATAAAAATTTTTGAAATTGAAAATATTCATGTTTTGACCAAAATAATCTACTTATGGGAATTATTGCATGGAAAACTATAAAATATATGGAATGTATGTATATCCTTTTTCATAGTAGCTTATTGTAGCAAAACTTTGGATTTGTAAAATTGCAACTGTATTAGTAGGTTAAAGTTTGTGACGATTAGGATGTTAACTGAAATGATAATCTAATGTACAAATTATATAAAAATCAGAAATCATTATTTCTACATGAGTATATAATTGTCTCAAAATTTAACATATATATTTGCATAAATGCATAATGTATCCCATAGCATACAAACATAAAATACTAAATACATTCACATATCTCTCCCCCTCATTTGTTTAAGAAATTGCATCCCAATGTTGAAATAAGAACTAAAAGACTTGATCAGATTCAGATTTGATGCTTTTGACAAAAATTCTGCATAGTCAGTGCCTATAACAAAGTACATGATGCCTGTTTTTTGTTGTTGTTGTGTGTGTCTGTGTGTGTGTGTGTATGTGTGTGATATTTACCAGCCATTTATCACCATTATATAGGTTCTTTACTTAATTATAAGTTTTAAAATGACGATACTCAAATTCTATCATGCCTTCTTTTTATATTAACTACATTACACATATAAAGAGAAACTCTATCATCAATAAATTGGCTATCTTTATGTACACCTTATACAGAAAAAAAGAACAAATATATTTGATTCTTCCTCTTTATTTATAAATTTTCATAAAAATAAGCTCATTTACTGGCCTTCTCCAAATTCACCAATGAGATTTCTTTTTGTTGATGTTGTTATCATGATGAACTCACCTTTTAACATTTTGATGGACTTCAAATCCTTTTATAGGATTTTTATAGCAAAAGAATGACAAGATTTGACTTATACTTTAAAATTTCACTCTGCCTGCTGAGTTAAAAATAGATAGTGAGGGAGCATGGATGAAAACAGAGGGACCATTTGGAAGGCAATATAATACAGAAGATTGATGTTGATAACAACCAGGTTGGTAGCAATAGAGGAGTTAAGAAGTAGCTAGACTTTGGACATATTTTGAGGGCAAGCCAAGAGAACTTTTTGATAAGTTAGGTGTGGAGTATGAGAGAGAGTACTTTAGGCTAACTCCAAGTTTTGGACACTGAGCATGTGGAATTTCTGGTTTGAATGATTTCACTTCCATGTGCCATATAAGGAAAATATCAAAAGTTGTGAGTAACAGGACTTTTCTGACACCAGGCCACACAGTGAAAGTAACCCAAAGAGTTAATCCAAGGCCTCTTCATAATCAGTAAATCATGGAATGACCAGGAGTGAACAGATCTTTCCTTATAACCATGCTCTGAGACAATACAGAGTAATTAATGTACAATGTACAACACATAAGCCTAGAGAACCTTAAATGTTAAAACCAAGCAGGTTGACACTTTGCTTGCCCTACCATGATGTTAGGCCAAGATGAAGTAAATGGTATGAGACCACTAATGTGTCTTCAAAGTTGTATTTTTTTCTCAATTTTAAAATAAATTTGATTTTAAATTTATTTTTTATTTAAAATAAAATTGATGGTGGTAGCTCTCCTCAAAGAAAAATAAAGGTGGGGATTCTTCCCAGGGTAATTTTGGCAAAGGGAACTTTAATTATGAACATGTGGATATGAGCTTCATCCTTTCCACCTTCAGAAGGATGATAGAAACATGGTAATGAGGGGTTCCCAGTAGAACCCCTAAATAAGACAATAAGTGACCAGGTAGCCTGGTTTGCATGCAGCAGCCCCTGGGACTCTCTAAAGTTTTTGTTCTCCATGGTCTTTTTCTCCTCTCACTGAAAGTGAAGAGTGATAGGACTGGAATAACAACTGAGTAATCCTAATTGTAGACCTGGTATTATTGAAGTAAAATTATATAGAAGATTTCGTTGCATTTCTATGTATTTATGGACACTCCCTTTTATCCACTTCCCCACAGCACTGTCTCTACCTTCCAACCCAACGATAGCAGTGTGAAATGGCATAATGAATGCCAAGACAGAGCATTTCCAGAGAGAGATATGGAGAACAAGCAGGATGGAAACTCAGGGGGCTGGTTCAGGGTCACAGTAAGTATCCTGACAAAAAATAGGGAATGTGCAGGAGAAGCAGGTCAAGGAGAGTTGTGTTGGTCTCATATAGAGATGCTGGGAACTTTGTTGAGGACAAGAGAAGTTAACATCCTTGACCTGAGGGCAGGTTCACACAAACAATACAAAGGGAACAGGTTAACTGAAGGAAGGTCACCGGAAGTTGACTAAAGGCAAAGGTGGAGACTACTGCCAAGGAAATGGAGCAACTCCTCACCAGATGTCACAATTTGGCTCAGGATGAGTGTGAAGGTGTAGACTCTAAATTCCTGGTTGGATAAACAGGATTTCCTGGAAACTTATTAAAGGAATATCATTTTATATATCTAAATTTGATTGTTTGGGAGTTAAATATTCAAATAGGGGGAACGGAAAAATTAGAAAATCCATGTCTAGCAAAAAGAAAAAATTAAAATCATGTCAATAGTTCCTACTTTGGAAGCCTTTTTAAAGCTCAGTAGAAGGTCAGTAGAATAGAACACCAGATTGAGTCTGTTCTACAGTCTTAATGCCCTGTTGTCTCCCTTCTCTCCCATCCCTTCTTTTTATCCTTAGATTCCTTATGGAATAAAGTATAACAAGACATGGATAATAAATTCAATACAAAGCCATTGTAGTGTCCCCTTCACCGTGGTTGATGTAAGAAAGAATGGTGAAGTCAGATGAGTGGGCTCAGGGAAGGGGGAGAGACAGCTAAGCAGAGGCCACTGGCCTCTGACACTATTGCCGTTGCCTTCAATCCCTGTAGTTCCATTACTTAAAAGACGGGGCCCAGTTCTTTATCCAGGATGCTTGTGCTGCCTCTGCATTGAAGGATATCAACTGCAAGATTTCTGATGAGGAAAATCAAAAGGTATGTGTTGAGGATATTACCCATACCTGGTCCCAAGGCAGGAACACAGACCAAAGTGGCTGATCATCTTCCTTAAATGAGAATTCCTAGTGCTTATCCCACTTCTCCTTCTTGTAGCTATCTATACATGTCAGTCCCTCTGCTGTACCCTACTCTGTACAGAATAAATTGGATCCAGAAGAAATGGAGCAGCTAAAGGTAATTAAGACACAAGGCCCATTGTGTGCAAACACCCATACCTACCTCTTCTTCTCCCAGCCCCCAGTTTCCCTATCACCATGACAGACTCACAGTGGCTCTTAACCATCCCTCTCTGCAGCTGACCATGAGCAAACGCTATGATATCTCCCAAAGAGCTCTTGACCTCCATAAACTCCGCTTTGACCCAGGTACGAATGACAGCAGTAATTCTAGGGGTCTTCTTGGGTGTGACACTTAGGGGTGGTAATGAGGGTAAATTTGGTACTGGCCCTGGACCCCTCTCAGCCTTCTGATGCCTCCTCCCACCTTTTTGAAGAGTTGATGGACCATGATATGGATATAATCCTGAATCGAAGAAACTGCATGGCTGCCACCCTGCAGATCATCAAAGAGAATTTCCCTGAGGTGAGGCATTTTGCCCAGTGCTGGTATTATGATATGGGATGGAACACATGAGGTGGAGAGAAGATTTGTCTCTGAGTCCCTAGATAGTAAATGTCACTCTAACTTCTTCCCCCAAAGCTCTTGGCCTTGAACTTATGCAAGAACAAACTGTACCAGCTGGATGGCTTGTCTGACATTGTGGAGATGTCCCCTACAATCAAGAGTCTGAACCTCTCAAAAAATGCGGTAGGAAGGGGGTGCATATTAAATTTGGGGTTGAGAGTGGGTGGTAATGCTCATCAGAGTGATGACAGGTGTCAAGAGAAGTTACCTGAGCAGGAGGGTGGAGACTAGGTGTTCAAGGGTGTCTATTTCCAGAACATTTTTCTAGTTACTTTCCCATATTTTTCAGGTGCAGTCAGTCTTGGAGTTATGCAAGATAAAAGGGCTGAAGCTTGAAGAGCTGTGGCTGAAAGGGAACCCTCTGTGCAACACTTTCCCAAACCAGTACACCTATGTAAGGTCTGTGGTAACTTTTGTCACCCCTCCTGGGGACCTTTTTACCTTGGGAGCCTAAATTACCCTTGACAGTGCCCCCTTGCAGGAGGTGGCAGCCCTGGTCCTCTAGGAGGATCATGGGCCCCCTCACACTTCTCTCTGTGTCCCTTACCTGTGCTTAGAGGTCTTTTCCTTCCTATGACCTACTCACTTGTTCTCCTGGCCTGGGCTCTGTTTCCTCACTCTGCACCCAGCTGTCTCTAGCATTCTTTCCATTGAGAATGCTCCAGGAAGCAAGGATCATCTTCTCCAGGACCAGGAGTGACCACCTTGAGCCAGATACTGTGACCTGAACTGACAAAGGTCCTCCAGCCCAGGGCCTCATGCCGATACAGGCCTTCCTACTCCCTGCTGAGATGGGGTTCCCTCCTCATCCCCAAGAGGAGCCCTCTTTCCCTTGAAACAAATGGGTCCACTCTCTAATTCCAGGCTGCTATGATGGCTTTTCTGCCTCATGCTGAGGGCTAAGATCCTAGGGGGCTGTTCCTTGAGGTCATGTTCCTCTCGCCCAATGTCAGGAGCTGGCCTCTCCTTGAGAGAAACCAGGGTTCCCTGAGTCGAGAGGCTAGAAGTGGGTGACTGCCAGTGAGCAGAGGGCTTCCTGAGGCATAAATGAAGGGTGGATGGCAGAGGTGCTTGAGGAGAGAAGACAAACCTCTCACAAGTACTTCCCCTTTTCTTCCCTCCATACATCACATAATCCTGACTGGTCCTTCAGAGAAGCCCTAGATAACCTGACACAGGTATAATCCCTTAGTCTAGGAACTGGACATGAATTGTGCCAGGAACAATGTGGGAAAATGTGTCCCCTGGCACAGTTGCAGTGGGGCCATCAGGAAGGAAGGCAGTGATCATAAGACAGGGCCACAGACCCTCATCACCATGCTGACCTGGGGCTTCACCCTCTACTCCTTCTGGGGAAGGTCTGCCCAAATAGCTAACTCATTCCCCATGCCCAGCTCACACTGAGTTCACATAGGTGACAGTTTCAGACAGCACCAATGGGCCCCCAGCCCAACACTGGCATGCTTTCCATTCCTACCTCAGGTTCCAGGGCCTGCCAGGACAGATGAAGGAAAGGGATGCAGCCATGGAGCCATTTTATCCTTGAGAGAAGATATGGAGAATATGGAGTTCTCCTTCTCATTCTCCTTCCTTCCTGACCCCCACCACCATGGTAGAGCTTCTTTCCTTTCCCTTTACTTTGCTTTCTCTTCATCCTTTGTCTCTACTCCCCTATGTCTCTCTTACCTCTCCCCTCCTACCTTTACCCCCTTTTCTGTCTTCTTCCCCCTCCCTCTCTCTCCCTGTACCCTGGGTCTTGCCTTACTCACCTTCCTGGCCCAACATCCAGGACCATCACTGGGGCCGGCAGATCATGGTCCTGCAGAATGCTGGACCCCCAGTGAGGTAACAGAGCCCTGGGCTCCCACCCCATTCCCTCTTCTCTCTTGAGCCTTTAGTGGGGACTTGGAACTTGCGGGGAGAAAGGGAGGCCGGGAGGGGAAGGCATCCCTAGAGCCTGGGCTCCAAATCTTGCTTCTTGAGATATTGGGAAGAGAGTAAGGGCAATCTAGGTAGGAGTTACCCAAGAGGAAGGAAAGACAGAAAACCTTTAAAATTAAACTGCAGTTCATTTCTTTCTATTTTTGGTTTTGAACAGTGCTATCAGGGATTGTTTCCCCACATTGTTACACCTGGTAAGTGCCTACATTCATCATTGTCTCCTCTTTTTAATAGTGATGACCTTCACACCAGCGGGAAGCTTTGGCGGACTTACATAGGTTATGTTTTTGTATCTGACCCATTGGGGTGCATAGACTCCTGAAAAAAGCATGACCATTCTTCCTAGAAAATGCCCATTCACACACACACACACACACACACACACACACACACACACACACACCCTTACTCACAAACTTTCTGTCATTCACTTATTTACCCAAAGTTGCATATAATAATAGAGGCTTACAGGACTGACCCTCTGTTGAAGACTCCTACTGTAGTCTTGCTGATAGAATTTTGGGGGCCATTTCACACCTGACCCTAGCTCTTGTTTCCCCTGCACCTATATATGCCCCTTTTCACCCATTGCAATCTCCATGGTCTGCACTTCTGATTTCCTCTTCCTTTCTTCAGGATGGCCAGGTGTTACCAGCAAGAACTGTAATTTGCACTGAAGCCCCCCAAATAATAAAACATTGTAAGGTGAGGATGGAGCAAGCATGATTTAGGATATTACAATGGAAGCTTTGTCTACCACATAGTTTCAAGGTATCTTTTGATTCCAGGAAAGCTATAAAGGATCCGAGATTCTTAAGAATCTAATCCTTCAATTCCTGCTTCAGTAAGTACCCTTGGGGCCATGAGGCAGAAGAGGGTTGGAATGGGACAGGCCACCCAAGCATAGGTATGCTAATGGATTAAGAGGAGCTTTCAAGTCCCTTTGGGTGCCCAGACCACAGAGATAGCCTATTGTCTTTGTTTTTCTTCAGGTATTACTTGATCTTTGACTCTGGAGACCGACAGGGTCTCCTCAATGCTTACCATGATGAGGCCTGTTTCTCCCTGACCACTCCCTTCAACCCTGAAGATGCAGCCTTGTGAGTATCACAGCTCAGACTCTGCTCCTGGGCCATGTGTCTCCCCAGCAAACACATAATCAGTTCCTGTAAACATCTACACTGCCTGGGCCACCACCTCCTTTTCCTCTATTTTTCCTAGAAATGGCTTAGAAGAATACTTCAAGGATAGCAGGGATATTAAGAAGGTCAAGGACCCTGGTAAATGTGAAAAGCAAAAAGATCAACATGGGAAAAGGGGTGTGAAGGGAACATATATAGGGGCCATGGGCCTGACCTTTCCTTCTTTCCTCCAAAGTCCTGCGAGTTCTACTGCTAAAGCATACAAAATATGACATTGTTGACTCCCTCAATATGTTGCCCAAAACTCAGCATGACCTTAACTCCTTTGTGGTTGACCTGAGCGTCCAGACGGTGAGCATGGGTTTCCTCCCTTGGGCCAACCAAGAAAGTCAGAAGTGGGTAGGAGGTTTAGAAGGATACTGAAAGCCTTAGTAACTGTTCTCCCCTTTCAGGAAACAATGCTCGTTTTTTCTGTCAATGGGGTTTTTAAGGATGGTAAGTATCTGTAGAGTCCTCCCCAGATCCCCCATTATGTCCTTCTCCTGGCTGGACTACCTCCCAATTCTCCCAGCTTTCCAAGTTGCTTCCCTTCCGTCCCTTCCTTTCCATCCCTTCCCGTTGTGTTCTCCCATCCCACCTTGCCCACAGACTATCGTGGTCTGACATACATCCATGCCTTTCCGACCCAACCCAGCTCACATGTTAGAGGCACAGGCTGTGGCATTTTATAGCTCTCATTTCAGTTCCTTACTCTGTGACCTTGGGTCAAATATATAACCTTTCAGTTTCTTTATTTGCAAAAGAGGCTAATAATACCCTTATCTTGGGCTGCTCTAAAATAAATGAATCAAGTGAACATGTATTTGTCAGAGGATCTGATACATATTGGGGGTCCTATCCCTGATTATCCCTATTGTTGCCCTCTCAGTCCTTAAAGCCCCCTTCTACCTCCCAGTGAAAATTTGCCCCTGTCTGGCTCCCATAAGGGTGCTACAAGATTATCAAGTAAGTCCCTGAAAGGGGAATACTGGTTGTGTGAAAAGTACAACTCTAAAGGGATGTTGCTGTTTGTTGTCATTGAAGTAGAAGGAAATTCTCAAGGTTCTGTCATGTTTTCACTCGGACCTTCATCTTGACTTCTGATAGCAATTCCAGGTAAGTGCTGTATTGTGGGTACAGCACGGGGACAAACACCCATCCCGGCCTGAGGACAATGGTGTAGGAATATAGTGGTACAGCCTAGAGGTTTCCTCAGTGGAAAGCCAACAGGCAGACCCAAGGAAAGGTCTAAGAGTGTGGTTAAGAGTGTGGACTCTGGAGTCAGAATACCAGATTCTTTTCCTGACCTCAACACTTACTAGCTAGCTGAATGATATTGTCAAGTTATAATACCTCAGTGACTCAATGTATTGTTCTGAAAATAGGGATTGGAGTGACCATTCTTTGTGCTGCTATAAAGGGCATATACATTAGAATTAAATCTATAAATCTGGTGAATCTAGTAGACAGTCCCTCCAAAAGTGGGCTCTGTGGGAGGCCAGAGGTATCAACCAAGGAATCCAGGGATCAGGCACAGTAGGGATATGGAAGGAATCTGGTTGCTGAGTGGCATTGGGAGCAGGAGGGTTGTTGGGGGTGGAGTTTATCCATTTCTCCAGTTGTCTGAGGACCCAACTTTCTTCTAGTCTGCGCATCATGAATGATGAACTCATTGTGGGAAATGCCAGGACCAAAGAAACACAAAGCACCTTCTCCACTCCAGTGCCCATGCCCTCCACAAGCTCCATGCCTACCTTCTCCCAGAAGCAGCAGGAAATGGTGCAGGCTTTCTCTGCTCAGTCTGGAACAAACCTCCAGTGGTCTCAGAAGTGAGTGCTTAGAGTCTCTAAGGATAGGAGGGAGCTGGGAAGAATGAAAAAGTGAAGGATAGAATAATAGGAACTGTAGTTAATTTGAACAAAATAACTATTTGGATGCTGTGCTTCCAAAAAATAATCTCATGAAAAATACATATTAATTTTATTGTGACATATGTAAATAATTTTTAAATAATATAATGTTCAGATGACATGAGCATATATATGTAAAATCCTAAGGAAAATAAAAAACTATTAGAATTAATAAACATGTTCAACATTGTTTCTAGATATAAAATCAATATACAAAAATAAATTTTATTACTATACACTAGTAATGAATGATCAAAAAAAATGAAATTGAGTAAATAATTCCATTTATAACAGCACTGAAAAATAACATATTTAGGAAAAAGACCCATAAATACAGATAACAAATTGATGGTTACCAGAGGGGAGGGGAGTGGGGAGGTGGTCAAAATGGGTGAAGGGGGGATCCCTGGGTGGCTCCATGCTTTAGCGCCTGCCTTTGGCCCAGGATGTGATCCTGGAGTCCCGGGATCAAATCCCATGTCAGGCTCCCTGCAAGGAGCCTGCTTCTCCCTCTGCCTGTGTGCCTGCCTCTCTCTCTCTCTCTCTCTCTCTCTCTCTCTCTCTCTCATGAATAAATAAATAAAATCTTTTTTAAAAATGGGCGAAAGGGAGTGGGAGGTACAGGCTTCCAGTTGTGGAATGTATAAGTCACAGAGACAAAAGGTACAGCATAGGAAATATAGTCAATGGTATTATAGTAGCATTTTATGGTGACTGATGGTAGCTACACTTATGGCGAGCATAGCATAATGTATAGACTTATCAAATCATTATGTTGTACACCTGAAACTAATGTAACACTGTGTGTCAACCATACTTCAATAAAAAATTTAAATAACATACTTAGGAAGCAAATTTAACAAGAGAAATACCAAATGTATACTCCAAAATCTGTAAAACCTTGTTGAAGTAAATTTTAAGAGACCTAAGTAAGTAGAAATAATCCCATACTCCTGAATCAGAAGACTTAATATTGTTAAGATGGCAATATACCGCAAATTAATATACAGATTCAGTGTATTTCATATCAAAATCCCAGCTCATTTCTTTATAGAAATTGATGAGTTAATCCTAAAATTCATATGAAAAGGAAATGGACCCAGAATAGACAAAATGTTCTTGAAGAACAAAGTTGGAAGACTCATACTTCCCTATTTCAAAACTTACTACAAAGCTAAAGTTATCAACACTAAATGGTACTGACTTAAAGATATCATATAAATTAATGTAATAAAATTAAAGTATACACACACGTGCACACACACACGCAAAATCCCTCACATTTATGGACAATTTAACTTCAACTAGAGGACCAAAAATATTCAGAGTAAAGAATAGTCTTTTCAACAACTAGTTAAGGAACAACTGGACATCCACTCACCAAAGAATTAATTTGTACCCCTATCTCACACCATATACAAACAAATTACTAAAAATATTTAAAAAGACGTCTGTGCCTGCTGCTCCATTCTCAGCTACCCACTATCTTCTCACCACCCACTATGGGCCTCCTACAAACCCCAGCTACGTCCTCTCTGGGATCATCACTGCTTTCTACCCAGGCCTCACTGCCATGACTTCTGCCAGAGCCAGCTCCTGGTGAATCCATGTGGAGATTGTGCCCCCAGAGCCCATCGTGGGCGTCACAGAAGCCTTTAAGAGAGACACCAACAGCAAAAAAAAAAGAAAATGAATCTGGGAGTTGGTGCCTACCAGGATGATAATGGAAAGCCTTATGTGCTCCTTAGTGTCCAGAAGGCAAAGACCCACATTGCTGAAAAAATTTTGGACAAAGAATACCTGCCCATTATGGAACTAGCTGAATTTTGTAAGGCATCTGTAGAACTAGCCCTGGTTGAGAACAATGAAGTGTTGAAAAGTAGACAATATGTCACTATGCAGATCATTTCTGGAACCTGGAACTTGAAGGTTGGAGACAGTTTATTGCAAAGATTTTTTAAGTTCAGCAGAGATGTCTTTCTGCCTAAAGAATTCTAGGAAATCATACATCCATTCTTTAGGGAAACTGATATGCAGCTACATGGTTATCAACACTAAGAACCAAGACATGCATCTGTGACTTCATAGGCACTATAAAGAACATTTCAAAAATGCTACAGTAAAATGTTCTCCTGCATGCCTGTGCCCACAATCACATAGGAGTGGACTTCATCCTGGGCAATAGAAGGAAGTAATAACAATCGTGAAGAAAAATAATCTCTTTGCATTTTTTGGCATGGCCTGCCAAGACTTTGCCAGTAGTGATTGCAACAAGGAAGCCTGGGCTATATGCCACTTCATCTTCATTGAGCAGGGCATTAATGTTTGTCTCTGCCAAACCTATACCAAGAACCTGGGCTTATACAGTAAGCATGTGGGAGCCTTTACTGTGGTCTGCAAAGACACTGATGAAGCCAAAAGGGTGGAGTAACAGTTGAAGATCTTGTTTCGTCTCATGTATTCCAACTCTCCAATCAACGGAGCCTGGATTACCTTGACCATCCGATCAGCCCTGACCTGTGAAAACAAGATATTTTTTTAAGATTTTATTTATTTATTCATGAGAGACACACACAGAGAGAGAGAGGCAGAGACACAGGCAGGGGGAGAAGCAGGCTCCATGCAGGAAGCCTGACATGGGACTCGATAACGGGAATCCAGGATCACGCCCTGGGCCGAAGGCAGCGCCAAACCGCTGAGCCACCCAGGGATCCCCAAAATAATAGTTTCAGGAAGTAAAAGGCATAGCCCAACACATCATTAGCATGTGGACTCAGCTGGTCTCCAACCTCAAGAAGGAAGGCTCCCCACACTACTGACAGCACATCACTGACCAGATTGGCAGGTTTTGTTTCACAAGAATAAAGCCTGAACAGGTGGAAGGGATGACCAAGGAGTTCCCATCTACATGACAAAGGATGGCCACATCTCTGTGGCAGGGCTCACCTTGGGGAACATGGATTATCTTGCCCATGCCATTCACAAGGTCACCATGTAATTTCCCTGGTTAAAAGGAAACACAGACAACTTTCCTATCTATAGCCTTCACTGTTGTGAGATTCACTTGGAGGGAAAAACGGGGGGGTGGATGGTGGTGAGCAGGTCATTTCTCTCAACCACAGGACTTAACACTCAATCACTGAATGTGTTTCTCAGAAAAGAACATGTAATGAAATAGGGCAGAGGCATGTGTGGCTGGTGTCTGAAACTTTGTCTCTCAAAACCAAACTCCTGCTCATCTTTAACTCCAGCTGAACCAAAAGAGTTTACATGTACAAGAAAGACATAGCCCACAAAAAACCTGTCAATCATGTCATTGCAGAGGCTTTAAATGAAGAACCTTATGGTGCTGAGGGTACCTCTGTAGAGCCAGCATGAGAATAGCACCTACAAGAGGCTTTGTGGGAAGATGTAGTTCTAACATTAGCAGTCAGCCTCATGTTTGTCCTCCTGTGATTGAGCAATCTTATCAACAAACTTTCAGAAATCATGATTCATGAAAACCAGTAAGTCTGCTGCCATTGCAGTGAGGAAAATAAAAGATGCTGTTTCCTGTCTTATTTAAGAAAAAAGTGCTCTTCTTTTTAATACTTTCGGGCATTTTAATGTTCCTCTCTTCTTTATCATTGCTGTTCTTTTCTTTAAGCACAGAGATCTATATAACTAGTCTAGATTTTCATCCTATTCTACTGCTTGATTAACCATCAACCCAATCCTGTAGGATTAACTTAGTTAAAGAATGAAGAATATAATTTACTTTTCATCCAATATCCTCACCTTCCTCATCAAAGAGTATCAGAGAGTAGGTAACTGTACTTTATAAACAGCAATGATCATTTAATTGTCTCCTGTCAGGATGTCGCCTCTACCCAATTGGACTTTGTGTGCTGGCAACTGGGATAACAACACTTCACCCTTTGAAAAGATAACCACCATCTGCTCCAAACACGTAGACTTATTGCAGCCTGGTTTCTCTGTTAAAGTTACTGCAGACCCCCAAAAAAATATTAAAAGAGGGGTACCTGGCTGACTCAGTCAGTAGACCATGCAACTCTTGATCTCAGAATCATGAGTTCAAGCCCCACATAGGGTATAGAGCTTACTTTTTAAAAAAAATCTTAACATATAAGGGTAAATTCTTTGTGACCTTGAATTAGACATTTTCTTTTTTATATACATTTATTTTTTATTGGTGTTCAATTTGCCAACATATAGAATAACACACAGTGCTCATCCCATCAAGTGCCCCTCTCAGTGCCTGTCACCCAGTCACCCCCACCCCCCACCCACCTCCTTTTCTACCACCCCTAGTTCATTTCCCAGAGTTAGGAGTCTCTCATGTTCTGTCTCCCTTTCTGATATTTCCCACTCAATTTTTCTCCTTTACCCTTTATTCCCTTTCAATATTTTTTATATTCCCCAAATGAATGAAAACATATAATGTTTATCCTTCTCTGATTGACTTATTTCACTCAGCAGAATACCCTCCAGTTCCATCCACATCGAAGCAAATGGTGGGTATTTGTCATTTCTAATGGCTGAGTAATATTCCATTGTATACATAAACCACATCTTCTTTATCCATTAATCTTTCGATGGACACCGAGGCTCCTTCCACAGTTTGGCTATGGTGGACATTGCTGCTAGAAACATCGGGGTGCAGGTGTCCCGGCGTTTCACTGCGTCTGTATCTTTGGGGTAAATCCCCAGCAGTGCAATTGCTGGGTCATAGGGCAGATCTATTTTTAACTCTTTGAGGAACCTCTACACAGTTTTCCAGAGTGGCTGTACCAGTTCACATACCCACCAACAGTGTAAGAGGGTTCCCCTTTCCTCACATCCTCTCCAACGTTTGTTGTTTCCTGCCTTGTTAATTTTCCCCATTCTCACTGGTGTGAGGTGGTATCTCATTGTGGGTTTGATTTGTATTTCCCTGATGGCAAGTGATGCGGAGCATTTTCTCATGTGCTTGTTGGCCATGTCTATGTCTTCCTCTGTGAGATTTCTCTTCATGTCTTTTGCCCATTTCATGATTGGATTGTTTGTTTCTTTGGTGTTGAGTTGAATAAGTTCTTTATAGATCTTGGATACTAGCCCTTTATCTGATATGTCATTTGCAAATATCTTCTCCCATTCTGTAGGTTGTCTTTTAGTTTTGTTGACTGTTTCTTTTGCTGTGCAAAAACTTCATATCTTGATGAAGTCCCAATTTTTCCTTTTTTTTCCCTTGCCTTCATGGATGTATCTTGCAAGAAGTTACTGTGGCCGAGTTCAAAAAGGGTGTTGCCTGTGTTCTCTAGGATTGTGATGGAATCTTGTCTCACATTTAGATCTTTCATCCATTTAGAGTTTATCTTAGTGTATGGTGCAAGAGGGTGGTCTAGTTTCATTCTTCTGCATGTGGATGTCCAATTTTCCCAGCACCATTTATTGAAGAGACTGTCTTTTTTTTTCCAGTGGATAGTCTTTCCTGCTTTGTCGAATATTAGTTGACCATAAAGTTGAGGGTCCACATCTGGATTCTGGATTCTGTTCCACTGATCTATGTGTCTGTTTTTGTTAGGCAGCATTTTCTGATGTATAATGCCAAAAGTACAAAATAAAAAAGAAAATTTAGACCAATTGGACTTCATCAAACATTTTTTTTTAAATTAAAGATTTTATTTATTTATTCATGAGAGACACAGACAGAGGGTTCCATGCAGGGAACCCAATGCAGGACTCGATCCCAGATCCCAGGACCACGATCTGAGCCGAAGGCAGGCACCCAAGCGCTGAGTGGGATTGACTCCTCAATATCTCTTTCTTATGTCACATTGTTCATGTATAGAAACACACTTGATTTCTGTGCATTGATTTTGTATCCTGCCACTTTGCTGAATTCCTGTGTGAGTTCTAGCAATTTGGGGATGGAGTCTTGGGTTTTCCACATAGAATATGTCATTTGCAAAGAGCGAGAGTTTGACTTCTTTGCCAATTCGGATGCTTTTTATTTCTTTTTGTTGTCTGATTGCTGAAAGTAGGAATTCTAGTACTGTGTTGAATAGCAGTGGTGAGAGTGGACATCCCTGTCGTGTTCCTGACCTTAGGGGAAAAGCTCTCTTTCTCCATTTAGAATGATATTTGCTGTGGGGTTTTCATAGATGGCTTTTATGATATTGAGGTATGTTCCCTTTATCCCTACAATGTGAGGAGTTTTAATCAAGAAAGGATACTGTACTTTGTCAAATGCTTTTTCTGTATCTATTGAAAAGATATGGTTCTTGTCCTTTCTTTTATTAATGTAGTATATCACATTGATTTATTTGTGGATGTTGACCCAGCCTTGCATTCCAGGATGGTTGTGATGAATAATTTTTTAATGTACTGTTGGATCCTATTGGCTAGTATTTTGGTGAGAATTTTGGCATTCATGATCATCAGGAATTTTGGTCAGTAATCCTCCTTTTTGGTGGGTCTTTGGTCTTAGGATTAAAGTAATGTTAGCTGCATAGAAAGAGTTTGGAAGTTTTCTTCCATTTCTATTTTTTTGAAACCGCTTCCGAAGAATAGGTATGAATTCTTTAAATATTTGGTAAAATTCTCTGGGAGGCCATCCAGCCTTGGACTCTTTTTGGGGGAAAGATTTTTTATTACTGCTTCAATTTCCTTGCTGGTTATGGGTCTATTTAGGTTTCTTGTTTCTTCCTGTTTCAGTTTTGGTGTATATGTTTCTAGGAATGCATTCATTTCTTCCAGATTGTATTTCTTTGGTGTCGGTTGTGATCTCTCCTCTTTCATTCATGTTTTTATTAATGTGGGTCCTTTGTCTTTTCTTTTTGATAAATCTGGATAGGGATTTATTGATCTTATTAATTATTTCAGTGAGCCAGCTCTTAATTTTGTTGATCTGTTCTACTATTCTTTTGGTTTCTATTTATTGATTTCTGCTCTAATCTGATTAATTCTCATCTCCTGCTTGGTTTGGGCTTTATTTGCTGTTATTTCTCTAGCTCCTAAAGGTGTGTGTTTAGATTGCATAGTTGATACTTTTCTTGTTCCTTGAGAAAGGCTTGTATTGCTATGTACTTCCCTCTTAAGACTGCCTTTGATGTATCCCAAAGATTTTGAACAGTTGTGTATTCACTTTATTTGTTTCCATGAATTTTTTTGATTCTTTTGTAATTTCCTTGTTGACTCATTCATTCTTTAATAGGATGCTCTTTAACCTTCAAGTATTTTATTTCCTTCCAAATTTCCTTTTGTGATTGAAGGAACTCTTAGAATTTTTTTAAAAAAGAAAAAAAAATAAAGATAAATAAAAAAAAATAAAAAATAAAAAAAAGAATTTTTTTAAAAAAGAAAAGTATCTCAATTAAAATGATCAAAAATCTCAAAAGACATTCATCAAAAAAAAGACATGTCAATGACCAAAGGGCACATGGAAAGATCATTAGTCATATGGGAAATACAAATAAAAATACAGGGATCCCTGGGTGGCTCAGCGGTTTGGCGACTGCCTTTGGCCCAGGGCGCGATCCTGGAGATCCGGGATCGAATCCCACGTCAGGCTCCCGGTGCATGGAGCCTGCTTCTCCCTCTGCCTGTGTCTCTGCCTCTCTCTCTCTCTCTCTCTCTCTCTCTCTCTCTCTGTGACTATCATAAATAAATAAAAAAAAATTAAAAAAAAACAAATCAAAATACAATGATACCATTGTATCATTTCACAAAATACCATTTCACACACTAAGATGGCTGTAATTTTTAACTGGAAATAAATGTTGGTAAAGATGTGGAGAAATTGGAACCCTCATATATCGCTGGTAGAAGTGGAAAATGTATATCCACTTTAAAAAAGTTTGGTAGTATCTCCAAATATTAAACATATGTTTACCATATGACCCAGCCAGTCTACTACTAGAGAATTGAAAAAATATGTTCATACAAAAACATATTAAAATATTTATAGCAGTATTATTTATAATAACCAAAAATTGAAAACAAACCAAACATCCAACTATTTATGGATGAATAAAATGTGTTATGCCCATACAATGGAATATTATTTAACAATAAAATAGAATGAAGCTCTCATATATGTTTTTGCATGCATAGACCTTAAAATTATTATGCTCAGTAAAAGAAGCCAAGCACAAAAGACCACACATTGTATGAGTCGATTTATATGAAATACCCAAATATTTCAAATCCAAATAGACAAATCCATTGAGACAGATATCAGATTAATTATTAGCAAGGTCAAGGAAAAAGGGGGACTAGGGAGTGACTGCTACTGAGTAAGGGGTTTTATTTACAGTGACAAAAAATGCTTTGGTATTAGGTTGTGGGTTTGTGATTATTGCAAAATCTTCTGAATATACTAGAAAGCCACTGAAATGCAGTTGATTCACCTTAGAATGGTGAATACTTTGGTATGTATATTAAAAATCAATTTAAAATGATTGTATTTTAAAACGACTTGTTAAGTTTTAAATGTATATATGTATATATACATATTTAACATATATACATTTATATGTATATATATATTTATATATACATATATATACATATTTAACAACTCTACTTTTTAATTCTAGTGGGTATGGAAGCTAGTAATAGTCATTTTCACTAGGTCTTTCTTCATCATTACACATTGTGCTCATACCAGTATATGTATCCCATCAAAAAAGTAGCATAGATTAAGCATTGCATGGTCAGCATGTCTGTGCTGCAGTACTAATGGAGATCACCTGTTCTCCCACTCCAGGTACCTTGAGGACAACGAGTGGGACTACACCAAAGCTGGTCAGGTCTTCACAAAGCTCAAGGTGAGGTGTGGAAATCATTAAGCAGGCTAGAGGAGGGTGTTTCTGGGCCATGGAAAAGCCAAGAAGATGGAGGCTGGGTGGCTTGGGGATGAAACTCTGGTATCTGGCTCTTCTGATGTCTCAACTCCTTCCCTCCAGAAGGAAAGCAAGATCCCAGAGGAGGCCTTCAAACAAATCACCTAAAAGAAGCCTTGGATGTTCATATCATCTTTGTTTCTCTTTTCTCTAGTCTAAGGCCATGCCCATAACTGGGGATAGAGGCCTGGCTGACCAAGAAGCCAAAATTACCTTGCAGGCCAGGTATTATAACCACCTGAAGGATCAGTTGTTCCATGTATTTTCCCCATTCATGTTTGCTGTTTATTTTCATAATAAAAAGTGATGCTGTAGATTGAATGTTGTGTGTCCTGGATCACTCGTCCCCTGTCCCAACATGAGCTAATGGGTCTGAGACTGAAAGGCCTTGCCCTCTCTCCCACATTATTCACCCTGGCAGTCCCTGACAGGTACACCAGGCTTGACTCCATAGGTAGTATCTCAGTAAATTCTGATGAGAGGGGACACATGCTGTTCCCAGGGATTGGCCTTTGGAAAGAGTGTGACTCAGTCACATGCTCTATTTGGAGGTCTCTAGAAGCAGACATGTGACCTGGAACAACAGAGGATTTACAAGGGTTTCCTGCTAGTGAGGGTGGTGGAAAGGAAGATAGGAGTCACATACTTCACTTTTTATTCCTAATCATTTAAATTCATCCAAAGGCATACCACCAACAATTTTATGATTTGCACACAGGTGAATGGGAAATGGGCCTTTCACACCTCTCACCATGCTTGCATTTGTCTTCTCATCCATCTACTGTACTGCCCACACCCGGCTCTGAAGGTGCACTGTGGGTGGGAGGGATCTCACATTAGCTCCTGAGAGTGAGGAAGAGTCAGCCTGTTTGCCTGGTACACTTTTTTTTTACATTTTTTTAAAAATTAAATTCAATTTGCCAACATATAGTATAACACTTAGTGCTCATCCCATCAAGTGCCCTCCTCATTGCCTGTCACCCATTTTCCCTCTGCTTGTTTCCCAGAGTTAGGAGTCTCTCATGGTTTGTCTCCCTCTCTAATTTTCCCATTCAGTTCCTCTCCTTTCCCTTGTAATCTCTTTTCACCGTTACATTCCACGTATGGGTGAAACCATATGATGATTGTCCCTCTCCGATTGACTTATTTCACTCAGCATAATACCCTCCAGTTCCATCCACATTGAAACAAATCATGGGTATTCATCTTTTCTGATGGCTGAGTAATATTCCATTGTTTATATATACCACATCTTCTTTATCCATTCGTCTGTCGAAGGACATCATGGCTCCTTCCACAGTTTGGCTATTGTAGATATTGGTGCTATGATCACTGGGGTCCAGGTGTCCCGGCATTTCACTACATCTGTATCTTTGGGGTAAATACCCAGTAGTGCAATTGCTGGGTCATAGGATAGCTCTATTTTTAACCTCTTGAGGAACATCCACACTGTTTGCTAGAGTGGCTGCACCAGTTCGCATTCCCACCAACAGTGCAAGAGGGTTCCCCTTTCTCCACATCCTTTCCAACATTTGTAGTTTTCTGTCTTGTTATTTTCAACATTTTCACTGGTGTTAGGTGGTATTTCATTGTGGTTTTGATTTGTATTTCCCTGATGGCAAGTGATGCAGAGCATTTTCTCATGGGCTTGTTGGCCATGTGTATGTCTTCTTTGGAGAAATTTCTGTTCATGTCTTCTGCCCATTTCATGATTGGATTGTTTGTTTCTTGGGTGTTGAGTTTGGTAAGTTCTTTATGATCTTGGATACTAGCCCTTTATCTGATAGGTCATTTGCAAATATCTTCTCCCATTCTGTAGGCTTTTAGCTTTGTTTACTGTTTCTTTTGCTGTGCAGAAGCTTCATATCTTGATGAAGTCCCAATAGTTCATTTTTGCTTTTGTTTTCCTTGCCTTCATAGAGGCATCTTGCAAGAAGTTGCTGTGGCTAGGTTCAAAAGGTTGTTGTCTGTGTTTTCCTCTATGAATTTGATGGATTCTTGTCTCACATTTAGATCTTTGAACCATTTTGAGTTCATCTTTGTGTATGATGTAAGAGAATGGCCCAGTGCATTTGTCAAAGAGCTGACAAGGGTCCATGTGCTTGAGGAAGTTCAGACATTTAGTTTCACTTCCACACAAACAATAGCACAGAATCTCACATTATTGTCAGTACTGTGGGACCTCTTTCAATGATCAGCAATTAGCAGTTCAGAATCACAGGCAAGAGTTGAAAGGGACACTTGTGCAATTTATTTTTCACACCTTCTGTATGTTTGGACTTTAGACCATAAGCAGGCAGAATTTTTAAAGTTAAAATAATAGCAGTACAAAATTTCAAGTTACCATCCTATAAATGATGGCACATGTGAGATACCACCAGTTTAGAAATTATGCCATTAACAGGTCTCACATAAGTTATTTCTTGCCACTTGCCACTTTTCAGTTCTTTATGTACATGTACACAAGGAATCCATACAGGTGTGTGTAAATTTCTTTGAAAAATTAATTAAGGGAATAATTGCCATTACATAAGAAGTAATTCCATGCCATTCCATGAGGTGGCTCAATGGTAATGGCACAATGGATAAAAGACAGATCTCAGTCTCCTCACCTAGAGAACAGTGACCACAGGGCACACTCCCAGTCACATCATGAGGAATAGAGGCAGTCACACATGTTGGTGTGCAATTGCAGTATCTGGCTGAAATTACACTCTCCAAACTGAGTTCTTTCATGGGAAGAGACCACAGAACCCATCACATGGCCTCTCTATTTCTTCTCCCTACATCACCAGGATTCCACATCCTTAGCCTCCTTCTCTATCCAGTTCAGATGTCACAGTCTTCCAACTATTCCTTCTTCTGCTAATTTCTTCAAATCCCTTGGTACCCTGATTATGGGAAAATGCTAACCCTGAAGTATTCCTCATAAACATGTCTGTATACTCAAGGGCTTGTTGGCCATGTGTATGTCTTCTTTGGAGAAATTTCTGTTCATGTCTTCTGCCCATTTCATGATTGGATTGTTTGTTTCAAGGTCACAGTGTTTCTTGGTATCAGAAAGGAGATATTAAATCTTATACTGAGGCCCAACGTCTGAGTATAAAATGGCTACACACTCAGTTAACCACTAGTCCTTTACTTAACCTCCAAAGTAATATATTTCATGAGTATTAGTGTTATTTCCATCTGAAGGAAAAGAAAAATTTGGCTGAAATGAGTGAAGTAGTTAATAGAACTCAGGATTTTAGTAAATCATTACTTCCCCTGTACCTCAACTCTAATATAGATTCATATTCAGTATAAAAATTATACTTAGTGGGGTACCTAGGTGGCTTCATCAGTTAAATGTCTGACTCTTGATTTCAGCTCAAGTCATGATCTTGCATTTGTGGATTGAGCCCCTCATTGGGCTCTGCACCAGGTGCAGAGTCTGCTTCAGAGTCTCTCTCTTTCTCTCTCTCTCCCTCATGAATAAATAAACTTTTTAAAAATTATGGAGAATACGGGAAGTAACTCAGCCATGTTCCTGTGGTCCAGGATGGATGTGCTCTTGGAATATCTCTTTCTTTACTTTGATCTTCAGTTCCTCTGTACTGTCTCTTCATTTCTGGGCATAACAGGAAAGCCGCTACTTTTATATTCAGCTATAGGGTGAAGTGGCAGAGAAAGGAAAAAATATAAAATGAACTGAAGGTTTCCAGACAGACACTGCCAAGATTAATTGTTCCTATGGTTTTTCATATTTCATTTAATTATTAATGCTGTCACACTAACCTTCCATTACCTGATACCTCTAATTTTCTCCAAATTTTAGGGGCCTTTTCACATCTTCTTTCCCTTCAGAGCTTGATTACAAGCTTCATATCTTCATGTACACTCTAGGCAAAATACTCAATTTCCCTGGAATTTCTGAAGGGTCACCAAAGTTTCTTCATGACAATGCCTCGGCAATCAGTGACTGATAAATGAACACTGGTGCTAGGTTCAATTTTTTCTTACAGCGAATTGCTTTAATTAGAAATATTAAAGTTCAAAAGATGTATTCTATTCTCCCTAAAAAAAAAAAAACCTCAGTAATTAATATCAAGTAAAAGCCTGGAAAAAACATTTGTAACATATTTTAGTGTCAGAAGATTACTATGATTTACATATAAATAATTGTGACAAGCTAAAAAAAATGGTGCCCATAGCCAGCTATTATATATTTCAAATAAATAATGCTGACTCTTAAAAATATACAGGTTTTAAAAATGCATATAAAAACTGAGATGGGGCAGGGCAAGATGGCAGAGGAGTAGGGGTCCTCAACTCACCTGGCCCCACCAACTTACCTAGATAACTTTAAACCATCCTGAACACCTAGGAATCCAACCTGAGATTTAAATAGAGAACAGCCACAACAATACAGAGAGAAGGGTTTTTGCTTCTAGCAAGGTAGGAAGGCAGAAAACAATAAAAAAGAATCCAGTGGGGGAGGGGCACCATGAGGAGCTAGGATAAAGCCGGGTGGCGAAAGCCTCTGGGACAGGAAAACCCAGCCACGGAGAAGCAGGAACTTTAAATATCTGCACCAGATTCTTCTCCCACGGAAAAGCGCTTAGCTGGGAAAATGGGCAGAATCACAGGAGGGGCAGTGAAGCCTCCAGTTTCCGGGAGTCACTAATGGAAGAAGTGCTGCCCCGGGGAAAGAACACCACACACCGTGGGCAGATCTCAGTAAAGGTCTGGAGTGCGCACGACGGGGCATAGGGGAAAAGTTGGTCGGTTAGGTGGGCAGCTCCAGATGGAGGTGTCTGCGCCCTGCTGCCTTCGGGAGCCCCGGCCCCTCAAGCGTAATTCCAGCAGCACAGGCCCCGGTTCCCAGGGCAACGAGCAGGCACAGACCATGATCCTGCACTCCCTCCAGGACAGACAGAGGCGGGGGGGGGGGGGGCGGCACTGGACAGCGAGGACTCTCCTGCCACTGGGTGCCCTGCAAGCTGTGCAGATCAGAGCACGTGCAACCGCCCTGGGAGCATCTAGGCCAGTGCGGACTGGGAGACTGTGTTAGTTACTAGCAGGAAGCTGACTACAGAGCTGAGGACCTGGCCGTCGCCATTGTTGTT